TGACCAGGATGGTCTCGATCTCTTGACCTCGTGATCCACCCGCCTCGGCCTCCCACAGTGCTGGGATTACAGGCTTGAGCCACCGCGCCCGGCCTATTTGTAAATTCTTTCTAGCACCATGCACATGACCTAACACACCACTGGTCCTCAGTAATTGAGGAACAAATAAATAACTGAATGCCTAAATATTTCAATATAATCAACTGAAAAAGTAATATGAGAAGTTAAAGAGTTCACTCAAATGCCTATAAGAATATATTGAAATTAATACGTCATATCAGCAGAAATTTAAAAAGTAGAAAAATGCAATCACAATAGCAAAAAAATTGCCAATACACAGAAAATGTGCAAGATACATGCAAAAACTCTACACATTAATCTGCTTATGTGATACTAGACTTATCATGTTGCTAAATGGGAAAATTACATTGTATGTGGTGTCGAGTACTCATATATTAAACCACAAATTTTACAAATGTCAATCACACTCAGAACCTTGGTTTTCAAAATGTGACAAATAGATGTTAAAGTTCATCTAGCAGACCAGGTGCGCTGGCTCATGCCTGTAATCCCAGCACTTTGGGAGGCCGAGACAGGAAGATTGCCTGAGCCCAGGAGTTCAAGACCAGCCTGGGCAATATGGTGAAAGCCTGGCTCTTCTAAAAATACAAAAAATTATGTGGGTGTGGTGGTGTGGGCCTGTATCCCCAGCTACCCGGGAGGCTGAGGTGGGAGGATCACCTGAACCCAGCAGGTAAAGGCTGCAGTGACCCCTGATCATGCCACTGCCCTCTAGCCTGGGAAACAGAGTGAGATCCTCTCTCAAAAAAAAAAAAAAGAAAAAAAGTTCATTTGACAGAATAAATGCTCAGTAATAGGCAAAAAAGATTAATTTTTTAATCTATTTAATTTTTTTTCAACTTTTATTTTAGATTCTGGGGGTACATGTACAGGTTTTTACCTGGGTATATTGGGTGTTTCCGAGGTTTGGAACACAAATGATCCCAGATCCCAGGTGCTGAGCATAGTACCCAACAGTCTTTCAACCTTTTCCCTCTCCTCCCTCCCGCTTCTAGTGGTCCCCAGTGTCTACTGTGGCCATCTTTATGTCAATGAATACCCAATATTTAGCTCCCACTTATAAGTGAGAAAATGCAATATTTGGTCTTCTATTCCTGTGTTAATTCACTTAGGATAATGGCCTCCAGCTGTATCCATATCGCTGCCATGAACATGATTTTCTTCTTTTTAATGGCTACATAGTATTCCATGCTGTATACATAATTTCTTAACTTTTTAAAATTCTTCAGTGAATTTTCTCTCACTGTCTTTTGCCTATTTTTCTAAAGAGGCATTAGAGTTTTTGGTTTTTAATTTTTTTCTTTTGAGTCAGGGTTCCACTCTGTCACCCAGGCTGGAGTTGAGTGGCTTGATTACAGCTCACTGCAGCCTTCACTTCCCAGGCTCAAGTGATCTTCCCACCTCAGCCTCAAAAGTAGCTGGGACCAAAGGTATGTGCCACTACACCATGCTAATTTTTTTTTTTTTTTTGGTAGAGATGGGGCTTTGCCATGTTGCTCAGACTGTTCTTGAACTCGTGGGCTCAAGTGATCTACCTGCTACAGCTTCCCAAATTGCTGGGATTACAGGCATGAGCCACTGCACCTAGCTGGAGATTTTTTTTATTTTAGGAAAACAGAGTAAAGAGAAATTTCTTTTTCTTTTTATTTTCATTTTTACTTTCATTTATTTTAACCTTTTGAAAATTTTCCAGGAAGAGCAATACAGTGCTGAATGTTTCCAATGTGTTAATTATTATATATATGTAGGGTACTAAGCAACATTTTAGACACTGAAAACATAGCTGGCCAGGTATGGTGACTCAGGCTTAAAATCCTGGTGACTCGGCCAAGGCAGGAAAATTGCTTGGGACCAGGAGTTAGAGACCAGCCTAAGCAACGTAGGGAGATCCTATTTTTACAAAAAAAATATGTTTTTTTGAATTAGCTTAGTGTGGTGATGTGCACCTGTATTCCTAGCTACTCAGGAGTCTAATGTGGATGGACCGCTTCAGCTAAGGATTTCCAGGCTGCAGTGAGCTATGATAGCACCCCTGCACTCCAGCCTGTATGATAGAATGAGATCCTGTCTCA